AGGTGGTTCCGTTGAGCTTCCCCGTCCTTTCCACCATCCTATTCTTCCTTTTCATTCTATGTCTGCATCTAGGCTAAGGTATGTGCAGCATGTTTTTTCACTATTTCCATTACTTCAGTGAGTTATAAAAAATTTAATTTCCGATTTGATAGGCTAGTGCAGTAGACCCGACTGTCCTTCCAGTCTCTGAAGAACACTTAAGTGCTTTCTCGACAAAAAAGTAATGTGAAGCACTCTTACCTACCTTTTTTCCCTTTCTTGCAAATGTGGAAGATTTTAGCTTTTTCGCTTCTTTTTTGATATTATGGGTTTTTTTCGATAATCATAGGTAAAATAACACAAGCGGAGCTTGAATTCGAAGAAATTTTGTATATTATCATTAGGTAGATTGCTATGTAGCAGTATTAGCGAAAACCACTTGCAAAGTGGAAATTTACAGTCACATACTCCATTCTCAAAAACGTCAGTAATTTATTTTTCAAAATGTGAGCAGCGAATCTCTTATGCTTTTATGTAGCTAAGATCTTCCTCAAAAGACACTTTTCCAGGGACGATGACTTTTTTTACGAAGTAATATTTGCAATTTCTTGTACGAATCCGTAGATCATCAAGGGATGAGTGATGAATGATTCCATTAATTTCTACTTCGACGTGCTAGAACTGTCACAGAAGTACTAGTACAAGTTCAATGGGGGAGGAACGAACCCCTCAATTAGGCACCGCCTTCGCGGGTCTTTCGTCCTTCTCTTGTGCTTCGTGTTAGGACCAGTAGTCCGCAGAGGCGCTGCTTAGTTGAGGTATTCGTTCCTCTATCCGGTTTAATGTACTTCGTAAATTCCATAATCCTACCTTTTTCGATGGGAAGACAGTGCCTAAAGTGGGGTGGAACTACCAAGAGTCTAAAAGCTTGAAATTCACATAAAGATAATCTTGTTGTCGGTCCGTTCTTTCGCTAGAGTACCAGCTTTTCAAAAATCTCATGGCAGTACGCAAGTTGATAGTGAAGAGTTTTTTTTCTGAGGTTGAAGTCTCTTGTTCAAATCGTTTCATTGTCCTTTACTCTAGTTTACTTCAAAATGCTATTATCACAATTTTCAAGAAAAATTATGTTTTTCTTAGATAGTGCACACTCGCAGCAACTCCTCCCTCTGCGTAAGAATTTTTTCAGTCAATAGGGGCTTACAATTTTCGGATGATATCGAATTCTCTACCTTACTCAGATTACGTGCAAAAAGGAAAAAAGAACGAAACCTAAAAGCCAACAATTTCAAAAGATGATGATCAGAAAATCATGGGATTATTCTATTACTCACAAATGAAAGAAAATACTCTTGCATAAAAATATATCCAAGAAAAAGGGGGGAGGGGAGAGTGCGTCTTGTACAAGATAAAACAAAGTTGTTTCTCAGGATAATTTGAATTGTTTCCGTAGCTAGTATCTCAAGCTCTACACTCTGATAACCTTGAAAGCTGCCTTTACATAAGTGCTCATCAGGGTATGGCACAGCTGGCACCGGGTCAAACTGGATATCGTATTTGGGGCCAAAACTGCGACGTTTTTAGTCGACATTTCGTTTTTTGAGGATTTTATACGTTCAGGAAGTAGGGTCAAAGGGTACTTCGTTTGAGATTTCCCTGGTGCCAACTCGTGTCGGGCCCTGGTGCTCATTCATGAGTTTGATTAATTCTTTTATATCTGTTGTGGCTACTGATTCTGAATTCTACGCCCATTTTCGATATTTGCTCATTGTGTATACATACATTCTGCCTAGCATAGCTCTTCCATGATTTATTTTTTTCAAAGGCTTGATCATTCTATGTATTTTTTTCAAAAGCTTGATCATTCTATGTTTAGAAAATGCTGGGTGTTCTGTTGAGGCAAAAGAAGGTGACCGAGCACTCTGCCACCTTCTTTCAGAGTGTTGACTGCCCAGTTTCGCGCTGTTTATTCTCTTCACTCTATATTCCACTGCTCTCTGGACTACTTACTTGGGAAGTTGATTGCGTTTTCAATTCAATTACGTTTGTTCCGTCTGTTTTGATTTTAGAGGTCCTTGCATGGCTGTTTGTACAAATCAGTCCATACCAGTGGCGTACCCAGGATTTCGGCTAGGGGGAGGGACAAGATTTTTTTCCGATGAAGGTGCGTGGCGTCAGCCACGCACTCCAAAAATTTTTTTAGTATGCTCCCTAAAATTTTCGCGGGCTCAGAACCCCGAAATTTTAGAAAAAGAGGGAAAATTTTTTTGGGGCGTCAGCCACGCCCCCAAAATTTTTTTAAAATAAGGCTTACATGAATTTTTAAAATATTTAAAAATTTTTCAAAATTATTTACAAGTGCAAACAAGTCATTTGCACAACCCATATAAGTAACTTTCAAAAATTTCGCTACTCGTTCTCTCGTTCGCCGGTGCGCCCCTCTCCCCCCCCCCCGCCTCCCCCTCGGTACGCCACTGGTCCCTACAGTTTTGCTAGACTTCTACATTCCCTTCGTCAAAATCAGCTATCATCTCGTTGGTTCTTTTTTCAGTTTCTAGTACTCTGAGTTATACGTTCATACTTTGACTCTCACTTTGTTGGACCACTTTGTATTATATAGTGATTTTCTTATTGCTTTTTGGTGATATGCTCTTGACCTCAGAGAATATCGTATCATATGCTCAGCTTAATGTCTTGCCTTCTGAATATGACATCGTCATTGTTGTGTTTTTATAATTGAAACTTATCCTTAATCATCGTTGTGATCCAAGCCGTTGTTAGCGTTCCTGGGGGTTATGGCGAACGAAGATTTCTACCCGCCGGGCACGCATGATTTTGCTCATTTGCTCTGATACCCATCCCTCTTTCTTCGCTTGACAGTGACTGTATCTAATCCGTCACGCATTGTGCTTGGGCTTGTACTATACTTTCAATTCCGCTTCGCACGACACTGACTTGAAGGCAAGACTCACGAGCTCTTGATTTAAGAAAAGTGACTTTCCTTTGTTACTCTAAGGTGTTGCGCATGTCGCATGTTCGTTTCATTGCGTGTCTTTAGTCTAGCGCACTGTTTATGAATAGTGCATCAATAAATGAGAAAATAAATAAAGTGGTTCAGGAACGATTATAAACGTGGGGAGCACCAGCACCGTCGGCTTGACCCGTTCAGATTTATAGTCGGGATACTACTTGTTACGAAACTTAAACAACAAACAGAATAACTCGATCACTAGATTTTGCATGTTTGTGCAAGATTATTAATCCCGGTGATTGCGTCATATATTGCCTCGAATCAAATGATAATTTTTGCAGGAAAAGTAGTAAATACGTATGTAACAATCATTACATACCCCTTCCTGCTCCTTTGACTGACTTTCAGCGGATCACTGCACATACTGTGTCAAATGATGTAGAGCTAAAAACGTCTGAAGAAGAACTTGAAATGAGCACAATCACTCCGAGAATCGCGAATGACTTCCGGGAGAAAATATACTTCTAACACTTCCGAGGAAACGCTTCTATTGGACCGTGTGGGTGAACCACGCCCTACCTGGCCCCTCTCTACCGAGCAGCTCCAACAGGAGTGTCCTTCCCCCCGAAAGAAGTTTTAGAAGTTGTCCCCCTGAAAGTCATTTGTGATTGTCTGAGCAGATAGTTCTAAGCTAAGACCGATCAGAGAGACAGTTTAGAGACACATATAGAGAAGCAGTTTATGTTTTACACGAATTAGTGACGAATGGGCACACCTTGAAAGTTAGTGTAAGTTTGAGTGAAAATGAGATTCATGACTAGTAAGACAAATGATGAAAAGAAGGCAACTACCTACCCTACTCAGACAATCGACGGGACCCCTCCGCCGGACAGTCCGAAACTGCCAGAGTCGCGCCGGACCCAGTTGACCAATGAGAAAGGGGCAAATGGGCGGTCCATCGCGGTGACATCACTGGCAGGCAAGTGGGAGGCTTCTCCGGCCCTGCTGCAAAGGTCCGCCATTTCTCCGGCGCGACTCTGCCAGATTTGGCGGACTCCGCGCCGGAGAAATTTGCCCGGCGCGAGTCCGCCAAATTTGGAAGAGTCGCGCCGGAGAAAATGGGAGGGGTCCGGAGCAGAAATGGGAGGCCTCCGGAGCAGAAAATGGGAGGTATCCGGAGCAGAAAATGGGAGGTATCCGGAGCAGAAGATGGGAGGTATCCGGAGCAGAAAATGGGAGGTATCCGGAGCAGAAATGGGAGGGCCCCGGAGCAGGCTGCGTATCGATTTGGCGCGTAGCAAGCAAACGTCTAACTCCACGGTGATGAGTCCTCTGTTTACGCTCTTTCTCCATATTTTAGTCGTCGTTTCTTTGTTTTTGTTGTTTTTCCGCGTTTCTTTACCATTTTTTTCTTTTCCGCGTTGCTCTTCGTCGCGTTGGTGTTTATGTTGTTGTAAGTTCCTCGTTTTCAGGTTTATGTTTCAAATTTTCGTGCGGTTGCACTCAATCACCTTCAGTGTCAGCTTAAGCTCAAAATCTGCCTCCAGGCGTGTTGTTTCTTGAATGTCGCACTTTTATGTTATGTTTTTTTTGAATTCAATTATTCTCTGTTCTTCTTCAATGGCTCCATGCTGCTGTGTTACCGTGTGAAATTGAGTTCTGGTCTTATGAAATCACAATTTTAGTTGCTGATGCTGGCGGTAATCATACACTTCCCGAATCTTCCATCGTTCTTAATGGCAATGCTAAGGACGATGGCAGCATTGTTAGCTACCAGTGGACACAAGTCTCGTAAGGCTGCTAGTTTCCGAAAGTCTTGATTTTTAAGACTTGATCAGTCAGATGTTTTCAGATACATCGACGCATCCTCATGTTCTTTGAAATTTTCGTACGCGCAAGATAAAACACCAGATGGTTGTGCTCTTTTGTGTGACAACGAACCTCACGAAGAGAACCAAATCTCCTTCGAAGGGTGAGCTCATTCTATAAGTTAAAGACAGAACTATTCAACTTAATGTTTCAGAAAACCACTGGACAGTCCAATTTTTATATGTTGGGTCGTGCAACTAGAGCAGTGGAGATGACGCAGGGTATCTTATCACAATGAATGTTAATGTCTACAATTCCGAATTTTCTAGGTGGCCGAGAGGGAAATAATGCGTTTTTGAACTTTGAGTCGCAGACTGAGTGGGAGTCAGGAAAAGATCTCGTAATGAATGGAATGAGTCATAAAGATTTAGTCAAGGTGTCTAAGGAACCAAATGTCTCATCTGGTGAGTGCATCAACCATTTATTCTTTTTTTCTGGTTCAATATCATCACCCGTCCTTTTTGGGTCTTGAATATCCCTGTTAAGCCGTCAATCTTAATGTGAACTTCATGGACGGCATGGTGGTCGTAGCCGCAAGGATGGGTTCGCTGGATGTGGCCAGTGCTTTTGCTGAAGGACCCGCAAGTTCAAATGGCCACGAAAGATCAAAAAAGCTGGCGCTTGGATGTTTTAGTTCAATCCTTTAAGTCGTAGGGAAGATGGCATCGGATTTGCGTGGATGCTGACTTCACGTTCTCGTTAATTCTTACAATATTTTTGTACTTGTGGTAGCACTTACCTATTTAAAATATCATTCTATCTATTTTTTCTACTTTTGATATTGCTTTTTCTGGAAATAAAGCTTGTCCAGATGCTGTACGGATCGCATTTTGATAATGGAACACTAATCAAAGTTAGCCACTTTTCAGAGTTGACAATTACAGATAGCTTGTTCTCTTGGGAACCTCGAAATCGCTGAAATCCTAATCGCCCATGGTGCTCTCATCATGGCAAAAGATCACAAGAAACGTACAGCTTTATCGCATGCTATCATTAACGGACAAGAACATTGCGCGGCTATGTTACTGGCAAAAGGAGCTGACTTTCTCAAGGTATCAAATACATATTCGAATTGGAATTGCTAGTAACGCCATGTTCTAGGGTGATTCTTCCAACAACACACCTGCACACTATGCTGCTGCTTACGGTTGGCTAGAATGTCTAAAGCTTCTGACTAGTGTTGATCCGAGCTGCCTCAAGCAAGAGAATGATTGGAAGCTAACACCACTATCCATTGCTTACCTTAAAGGTATTGAGCTGGAGAAACCAAATATAGTCCAAGTGTAGCCTTATCAGTATAGGCCATTATGGAATTGTGCAATGGCTTCTGGACGAGATGTCCGAATATGTGGATATTAATGGGAAGGATATGGAAGGTGTGACGCTGTTGTCATCATTACTGCGTTATACTGACGAAGATGCGCAAAGCGAACTTCTTGAGCAGATGCAGTACTTACTGTCCAGGTAGAGATTCAGTTTCATAATCAGGGCCAGATGCGAATCCTTAGCGCATAAAATTAGGTCGACACAAAAGAAGAACATGTCGTACACGCAGATCTCTGAAGCTCATAAATAATTTTGTTGTAGTGGAAAAGCATTATTTGAAAAGGCGTAACAAAAATTATCGCGTACGCTTCACTTACGAGATTAATCAAACTCATCGTGGTATGATTTTTTGCTGCCGTCATCGTAAGTATTAGATTTCGATGATGCGAAAATAATGTGAAACAAAAGCTGGACAAACTTAAAGAATAGGTTTAGGTTTGAAATCTTTTTGATATAACAAAACCAGAATTGAATCATGAATCAGTACATCACATGTCATCATTTAGCTCAAAATGGTTGGATTGTTTTTCACTTCATCTATTTTTCTCCAAAAGAATTTCGTAATCTCTCAAAGACAGAGAGGACTGATGAGTGTATTGCCTTCAGTTATATCTGCCTCGTTCTTGTGCAATTTCACCATTAATGGTATTCTGCAGAGGTGCTGACTGTTCGATCGCTGATAGTTTGGGCAACGATGTAATGCATGTTTTCGCTGGAATCAATGTTCGGCTACGAGATCCCAGTGAAGATTCGGAAAAGGGAATGTTAGAAAGTGAATATCAAGCATGTTTCGAAGAGATCATGAAGCATCGAAAGTTTGAAAAATTTGAAATAAATGTCTTATCTCTTCGTTCTTTCTTCTATCTTCTATCCACAAACGCTAGGGGTGAGAGGGAGGGGGTAGAGTACGGGGTGAGGGTCGTGCTAAACTCCTACCCAGGGGGGGGGTCCCATTCGGCTTATTTGGGTGGGGTTTAGAGACAGAATTGGGGTTTGGAGCTTAAAGACAGCGTCCAGGCAAGTCTGGACCTATGGGGATTTTACATGGAAAGTGTTTTTGGGGCCCTAACTAAGCCACTACCCAACCGGCAGCTCAAGTAGTGCTCTAACGCCTGAGATATTCTGCTCGAAACTGGACCCCGCGACCGTGTTTCGCATGGATTCATGGCGCAAAGCGTGGATCCTGGCGCGAAGCTGCCATGAATCCATGCGAATACGTTCGCGGGGGTCTGTTTCGAGGGGAATATCTCCGCCATTAGAGCACTACATGAGCTGCTGCTTCGGCAGTGCCTTAGTTAGGGCCCCAAAAGTACTTTCCATGTAAAAGCCCCATAGGTCCAGATCTGCCTGGAAGCTGCCTTTGATTAGGGGTAATTACAGTATGCCGCGGCAGACTTGCGGAGCACAAAATCGGGGGGCTCCGGCGCACAAAATCGGGGGGGCTCCGGAGCAGAAAATGGGAGGTATCCGGAGCAGAAAATGGGAGGTATCCGGAGCAGAAAGAGGTATCCGCCGGAGAAATGGGAGGTATCCGGAGCAGAAAATGGGAGGTATCCGCCGGAGAAATGGGAGGGCTCCGCCGGACAAATGGGAGGGCTCCGCCGGACAAATGGGAGACCCATCGCTGGGGAAACGCCGCGACCCTGCCATTTCTCCGGCGGAGGGGTCCTATCCGCTGTCTGAGCTATATATTCTCGCACCTCATGGGTGTGTGTCTGCGGGGTATAATTAAGCATAGCGAGTGCGCTGGTTCCAGATGCTACTTAGGATATAGCGCTAACCTAAGCCCCGCTCACACATTGCACCTTTTCTGGCATAGACCCAAGATTCCAGAAAGCTTGGCAGTACCTGAGGACATCGCGGTTGGCTCAGCGCCATGCCAGTTTCAGAAATGTCTAGTCGACTTCTAACGTTTTGTCTCACAAAGGTAAATTTTGCTGGAGGTAAAGAATTTGAAAAATACACAACTCAGTAAACAAAATAATTATTTTACTTGCATTCTATGGCGTGCCTTATTTTTTTCATTGAGATTTTGTAAGTTAAAGGTAAAATTTATCAGTCTATTGAAATTTCGGCTTTGTATTGAAAATGCTCCGCAAAACTAATGACATATTTGGAAAGAGCGCCTCAGAAAACCCCTAAATCTGTATTTTTATCGAGTTTGAGCAAATATTCTTGCCGAACATCAGTTTTGTGATTCTATTGAATTCCCAGTTCCATGATTGATGGATGAATCACGAAAGCGCCGATGGGGGCGGGGTTTGAATATATATAGACTAGGCTCTATACAATATGCTATTCGCCGTTATTCTCATGACTCCATTCCATTTACCGCAAGTCTTTGAGTATATAAGCTCCCTCACCCCAAATGACCTATGACCCATGAGATCAAATGCACACACATGTTACCTATTCATGTTATGTTACTATTGGCGATTTCGCATCATAGTGCAGGAAGTCAGGGCCTTCCGTACAGCGGATATAGTGAGGATGTAGAATAAAGTGCATTCCACATTCGATTGTGTTCATTGAGTTTACGTTTATTACTTTTTCATTGGGTTTATGCTCTTCTCTGTAGTGAATTACAGTAGGTGGATCAGAGGGCTACGGATCAGCAGTAACGCCGCGCACACCGGCCGACCGCACACCGCGTTTGAAGTTTGTGCTTCCAGAAACTCCCCGAGATTAAGTGAGCTAAAGTAAAACGGGTGATTAAAGGATAGGCGGTGGCGGCAGATACTTGACTCGAGCCTTGCACGTTGCGGCAGGAGTACTGGCGAGAGTTAACTTATGCATGCTTGACGTCGCGTTGCGGCATCGCTTCTCAAAAGGATCGCGCATCATGGCTCCTGCTCCAAACCCAATTCAGAGGATTAAATTTGTCCTTGTCAGGCACCCTAATAACTGTTCCGCTTTACTTATACATACATTTCCGTGTCCCTGGCTCTTCCACATGCTAGTTTTTGTTCCCTTTGTATTTTCGTGTCTCGCTTGCTTTACGCCTCCTGTATTCTACGCCAAGTCACACTTCGATAGCTCAACGACTACTGAAAATTGTTACATCGATATTGATCATTCCGCTCGTAGTATAGATGCACAAAGTTCGATCCAAGTTCTAGAAATGGGTATTCCTATTTGGATTTTATTCTGGAGAAACAGGCACAAAATTACATACCTTTCTAATGAGACTATGCCAGACAGATGCGATAAAAGACATTGGGCGTCTGCACTATTAATTTGAAGAAGGCGGTCGCACACGACGATCGGTGCGATAGCGGTAGAGCCACGGCCTCTATCGCATCGCACCGAGGATTGCTCGAAACGTTAGGCCGCTTTTCTAATAAAGCTTCGCCGTAACCTCGTATAGGCACAACTAACAAGTAAACTACATTGGGCTTTGTTTACAGGAATACCCTATTTGTGGTATGGCATCTTTTTTCAAAGAAAAGCAGACTTCATAAAGGACGTCGTATGCTAGATGAAATAATTTGGAAATGTGAGCTCATTTGCACTGGACTGTTATGTCTATGAGTTTACTTGATTTTTGGAATGTTCTTCACACTATACAGCGTTAGAAAAACAGAGGGACATTTTTTGGCAACAAATTCAGTATAAAATCTGAAAAAAATGCAAGCTATAACTTGAAACCATCAAACTTGAACAAACAATACGACTGCCAAATATGGCTATGGCTTGCTACTATGCTTATACAGGTACGGTTGACCGCCGTGCGCGGCGTGACTGCTGATCCGAAGTCCGCATTGTAACTTACTACACAGAAGCATATTCTCAATGAAATGGTAATTAACGTAAACTCAAAACACACAATCGGATTTTTGTGGATTGCACTTTAGTTCTACATAACTTACTATAATCGCTGGTAGGCCCTGAATTCCTGTATTATAATGCGAAGTCGATATGAATAGATAACATTTGTGTGCATTTGGTCTTATGGGTCATAGGTCCTTTGGTCTTACTGGTCATAAATCTCATTTTTCGAACATACAGTAACTTTCAAGTTGTACCGTCCTCTCGCATCTTCTGTCAACCACATAATACGACATAATTCCATCTTGCATACTGTTGCTGAGGTTTGTTCTGAGCTTTTTGCATGAAGAGTTCCTTTAGATTTTTTTGCTTATCACTAATTCGTCACTAATTCGCATAAAACATAAATTGTGTCTCTCTATATGTGTCTCTAAACTGCCTCTTTAATCGGTCTTGGCTTAGACCTATCTGCTCAGACAATCGCAAATGACTTCAGGGTGGGACAACTTCTCAACTTCTTCCGGGGAGGGGGAGGGGGCATCCTGTTGGAGCTGCCCGGTAGGGAGGGGCCAGGTAGGGCGTGGTTCACCCACACGGTCCAATAGAAGCGTTTCCTCGGAAGTGTTAGAAGTATATTTTCTCCCGGAAGTCATTCGCGATTCTCGCAGTGATTGTGCTCATTTCAAGTTCTTCTTCAGACGTTTTTAGCTCTACATCATTTGACACAGTATGTGCAGTGATCCGCTGAAAGTCAGTCAAAGGAGCAGGAAGACGTATGTAAAGATTGTTACATACGTATTTACTACTTTTCCTTCGAAAATTATCATTTGATTCGAGGCAATTTATGAGGCCGAGTTATTCTGGTTTCGTAGCAAGGTATCCCGAGTATAGGTCTAAAGCGGGGCGAGCCAACGGCGCTGATGTTTGCCACATTTATAATCGTTCCTAACTCACTTTAGAGAAAAGAACTAAAGAGACATATGACTAGATCCTAGAAGGAGCCTTAGAAAAGGCACAATATATTTGAACATGATTGCGAGAGTTCTGATGGAAGCGATCATCAAGTCGACAATTCCAAACTTGATAGATTCTACCGTCCTTTCATAAGCACAAATGACGCAGTTCCTCCTGATGCAAGCTACGTCGTGCGGTCGTATACACAGCATTTAAAAAGCACAAGTTCTCTGAGCGTGACGTGAGCTACGTGTCGGCTCCGTCTACAAAATCCAACTAACCATTATGTGTATAAAAGGATCAACCAATAGGATATCACAGTTCTTGAGTAAAATTGTCACCCAATATCTCGGCAAAGTAAAAGCATATCTGACGAACACCGGGCATTTTCTTGATTGATTGCACCATGCTGATCGATCAGGGCTTGCAATAGAGTCATTTTATGTAATGCCACTCTACACGAACGTCTCCAAAAGTGACGCTTTACAAGCTTTCTGAGTTCTTTGACGCATGTGGTAACAGCATTTCTACGCTTGGGCTCAGTAAAGTGTGATGATTCTGATCAAGGAATGTCTAAATTGTAATATCTTCAGGTGATCAGTTGCATACTATTCACAATTGGGAGGGTTGGCAATGGTCAAAGATTAGCACCTACGCTAATCCTCTGCTTCATAGGCAGAGTTGAAAGGCCGGTGTCATTGCAAAGTCCAGTCATCTGGTGCCGTACACAGGATGTTTTAGAAGTAAGTTCACACTTTTTAATCGTAAATAACTCTCTTCCCAGTGAGACTTTTCCTTAGCTTCGAGTACCATTCAATAGAGAAGGCTTCAATTTGGGTTCACGCTGTGAAGAGCATCACTCAAACTATCTTCATCAGTGGGGGATTATGGTAGAAAGTTTGAAGAACATCTTGAGCCATTTGTGTGGCTACATATTGCTCGCAGGAGAGATCGTTAACGAGCCGAAAACTCTATCATCAAGCCATAATGAGTTGCTAATTACCAATATGGGATTTGCATTTTGACGTAAGGCCTTTTAATAAGTTGTGCCAAGTAAGTCGCAACAACGTTTTTGCCGTGTTATTTTGAAATGTGATTAGATCATTTAAAACTTAAAACCATTTAACCCCTTCATAAGGACTATGCTATGCAATTCGTGCCAAGATCATACAGTATCTAAGAATGAAAGTAATAAAAAATTTGGAATCTTTGTTGCGAGCACACGCGTTCGGATCAAATATTTCGCAGTACAAAAGAGATAACTTGTTGTGAAGAAGCACATAGAAGAATACAAAAAATCTCACATTCATATACTTCCTGCGCGTCATCACCCTTCGGCCAGAATTCTAAAGGAAGAAACGAATACAGTACCTATTCCCTTGGTGTGGAATTTTCTGGAAATATGGAAATATTAGTGGAAGTTTTATCATTATTTCCATATTTCCAGAAAACATGGAAAGAAAACATGAAGAGAATAGTAAAACTGGCCTGTGTAGATAGTAGATTGTTCAGTTAACTTCATAGTTAATTTCTCTCGAAAAATCGTAAAAGACTTCCGGAAGACAGCGACAATCTTTTGCTCCTAGGGAGAGGGGCATATCCTTTTGAATACTGGAGTTCGCGCATGAGCGAGGCCTGGGGCGGCCGCTCGCTTGACGTCACAGAATGCCGAGACACGTACATTCGGGACGCGGGCAACGGAGGTACCAGAAATTTGCGATTTCACCGAGGATTTCTAAGCGCACAGTACCTTCGAGCATTTAGTGCGCGGCCAATCCAGCCCTTTGCTAACACGCACTCCCGCTAATTTCAAAAATATGCTCTCAGCCCCCGCGCAATGTTCTGTAATTACGCTGTGTGACTCATATCTGCTGTTTTCCGCTTGGTGGCTTCGTCAAGGGATGCGGATTAGCTCTGTGAAGTGTCGGTTGCGATGGTTTGACATTGCACCGTGCCTCTCGTAGGGGGAGTTGAAAATCCATCTACAAAAGGTGGGTTATCGATGTACAATACCGCTCACATAATGTGCAAAATTTCCGTAAATATCGCGAAATTCCGAAAATTCCGCGAATTTTCCGGAATTTCGCGACATTTCGGAAAGTTCGCGAAGTTTCGCGAAATTCCAGGAATTTCGCGGAATTTTCGGAATTTCGCGATATTCACGGAAATTTTGCACATTTTGTGAGCGGTATTGTATTGCGATATCATAAGTGGGCGGGGCTTACAGTTCACAGTTAAAAAGCGAAAAATCGATCTTTTGAGGTTAGTGAACCACCAAATCCTCAAAAATTGATAGAAACGGTATTCTGAGGGCTGTAAAATTCCGAAAATTAACAAAAATCGATAAAATCGATATCCTGGAAGTCTCGAAACACCGAAAATTGACAAAAAATCGATAAAATCGATATTATGGCGGTTTCTAAATTTCGGAAATCGGTAAAATTATCGAAAAGCTAAGCGAAAATTTCGAAAAACTCCATAATAAGCTCATTTCCAGTGCTTTTATACAGCTGAAACTCCTCCATGCAAGCTCCGCCCACTTTACACCCCACATCACGATCGAAATTGAAGAAAATAAGAAAAATTAAGAAAAAATAAGGAAAAATAAGCGAAAATCACGTTTTTCTAGCCCGATTTGCAAGTCCGGGAAGGTCTATAGATGGGCTTCCACAAGCGGAGCCCCTGCAATTTCTCCGAATTATATGTGGTGTCCTCCTCGAATTCAAACTGAAGAATGGCTATCCCAGCCTGTTATCCCTACTCTTCACGGAGATAAAATTCAAAATATGCATCGTCGCCTTTATATAGCGCCTCCTACGGTGGAGCTACAACCACGATCTATCCCTAGAAAAATAGAGTTATCAAAAGTACATATCAATGACCACATGTGATTACCCCAACCCTACAATTTGCAGAGATATAAGGTCGCAAACTCGCCTTTATTGACAGAATTCCCAAGTTCAGCTGTCAATTAGGCACTTTTATTGGAAACTTGTTATTCTACGACCTTCTCTCTAAAAATCATATTCTTAGAAATCTGTCCAATAAAACAAACTCCAGCCTCCTATCTGTAATATTCGCAGAGTTACTAGCCTCCCAACATGCATGCTCAGGCTGTAAAATCGACTCTCCCAAAGTTGCTCCGTAATTCCCCCAAAAATCATGTTAGACACCTCCCTCATACTTATATACCCCATATTTTTTCCAGCTTTTCAGAAGCAATACACACTGATATAGCGTGCTCGCTCCTCACTCATGGCCTTGGCACAAAATTTGGTCAAAATATTGAGGTTCTCGGATTGACCGGAAAACATCGCTCATAGTGGTTTTTGATCCCGATCATTACAAAAATCCTATTTATTTTGCACTAGAGAGTCTTACAGTAAAGCTAAAGTGAGATAGAAGTGGCTCAACACATCAAAATCGCAAATTTGCACTTTTTGCATATCTATTGCGAAAATTGTCTGCATATTTTTGTGATTTCAAAACATTGTGAACACCTCTACCGGGCCATGCTTAGCGCAGATCTTTATCTGCATTGTTCGTCAGATTATGATGTTACAAAATCGCCTTCTCATGAATTGTCATTCAAATTCAAAGTCGTGTAATTTGGCAGATATTCTATTCTATAATGTGCCACCAGCAGCAAAACAATATAAGAAATGTTGTTAGCACGTCGAGCAATTCATGTAAGCGGAAATTATAAAATTTGCTTCATACATGCATTCGAACAGTTATGACCAGGGTAAAGCGGGGGGTGCGGCACGCCGCAAGGGGGGGGGGGTCGTAAGGGGGGGGGGTAGGTAGGGGGGGGGGGTCGTATCGACCCAAGGTCAAAAGCGGTTTCTAAGGGGAAATGACTGCGGCTAAGTTCTTAGATGTGCCACGCTTTTTCCCAATTACCTTACAAGGTCGAAGAGGTCCGAAACTGAGTAAAAAAATTGACTTGAAAGCAAAGAAATATAGATGGTGCACCAAGAAGATTTAGATTCAAAGATGATGAATCATTACAGTGATCGTGTTAGTACAATGGATTTGTTCGCGTGTACTGTTCTGTGCTGCCGCTCACACAGCTGGTTGTGCGTGAAAAACATAAACCGATTATAAGGATAAAGGATAACGGATTCGGCGTTCTAAACACCCTCTGCAGGCATGCGCCGAACGCACACACTAACTTCATAGTCCTCTATTGTATGTGTGCAAGCCTATTACATTGACTTGCATACTTGTACAAGCTGTGTGACTAATTTGACTTGATGAAAGCGCTGTTGAAATCCTGCAAAATTCAAGTTCAACGACACAAACTTGCAGATACCGCATGCCTACCGTAACCTACCGTACCTCTAATCAAGCATAATTGTCGTCATCCGCGTGTCGAATAACCCCTATGCGCCAAGTTTCAGCGAACTCTGAGGTCTCTGAGCAGTAAACAACCTTGTATAAAGCAGTAATTTAAAACATGATTAACTTCATCTTAACGGTGAGTAAGCTACCTCTTCTTGCACTCAATACAAAGCACTACTCCTTTTTTGTCCACCTCAGGAATCCCGCTTCAGAAGACCTCCAAACTATTGAATTAGAAGCCAACCAAAATCGCTTTTAGCTTTTGATCGCTGTGCTTTCACCAAATATTACTCAGAGCTAAGAAGACGAATCAGGCTCAAAACATCCCTATGGAATCTACGAGGTTTAGGCTATTGATTCATATAAATATTGTCCGCTAAAAATGTTTTTTTGATATAGTTAATGGCCTGCGGCACCCCCCTCAAAACCTGCGGCTGCCGCAGGTTTTGAGGGGGGGGGGGGCCGCAGGCCATTAACTTACCTTCAGAACGCTCAAACGAAACCCTTTTTTACACTATTCTATTGAGCCATCCTTCTCCTCTTCGTAGTAGCATTTGCCCCCCCCCCCAAGCGCGCCCTCTTAGTAGAGATATGGTGGGTTTTCTGAACCCTACTCACCGAAGCACCTAGTCCGACAACCGCCGAAAATATTGGTGTACGGTAGGATTCCAAAAGCTGCCATCACACCAAGGGCGGGAGCCAGGACAGTTTGAAATTCGCATTCAATTTCATACGATGTTTCTGTGTTCCTATGTTTTCTATGTTTCTATTCTATGTTTCTGTTTCTTTCTTCTTTTATTGCAGTGTCTCCCTTTTTTTCGCTTTGCTCTCATTTGTAGTAGCGTGTCTTCTTCTTGTTTTGCTCGTGACATTTTTTTACTTATTGTTGAAATTCTATGATAACTTGAAGTAGTCTAATAGTTGCATGACTTAAATTACAAAATCTTATTTATTCACCATTTTGAGTGAATCTGTTTGTGGAGCACGATGAATTCCCATTCTCAAAAATGGTCTCGATTTATCGATCTGACACATTCCAAGTTGATGCTCGTTATGCGCTTCCGAATACTGTTCCTCACACAACTTCTGTTGTTGGTAAGTTTCTACTTCGTGTTGCTATGTAATCAACTTTTGTTTCTTTTCACCTAATAGATTGTTTTCTAATGTTTGCTGAGTTTGGGTTCATGGCGTGTCCTTGGAGTCACACCAAACGCTGAGGGCCAACCTCGCAAAGTCAAGATTAAGGTCAGTAAGTTTTCACCTTACTTTCAGATTCTGTAGTTGACATTCTTAAAATTTGAACATCAACTGTTGCTTAAAATCGGATGAGATTGTTGCTTTTATCAGAGCTTAACGGCATTCTACCCATATCCTAACTTATTATTCAATTCGATACATCGGGGCCCGGAGCTAAGTAGTTGCCCCAGTTCTGCTGCACTAGTTGAATTCCGAAACAAGAGAACTGATTAAGAGGGTAAACGCTGCGAGGAGGTCACCCCATCAACATGGGTGATGCAAAGTTAATGAACCCATACCATACTTTAAAGTTTCTAATAATGTTGAACATTGTTTCACACGAGAAAATGATTTTGACTTTTCTTGGCACTCTGAATGAAGTTCACTTTCATGGACAACAGGTCTAGACCGTTTACGTGGGCTTGGCTACTTCTGCCGCGTTTACCTCCTGAGGCAATCTCCCCGCTTTGGAATACATCTACAGCGAGCTTGAGCAGTTACTTAGTTCGGGGCCTGGGTATGCTACTGCATCAGGATCTTACCAACGTCAGTCTTTGGTCGAGCGTGCTTTAAGGATTTCACTTAGCTTTCTATATGTATTGTGTCCGCATATGTTTTTATATGATATCGTTTTGCAGGTGCGACTGAATCCAAATGGTGTATTTGCAGTCTGCTCAGCAACCATGTATGATACCCAGATAGTCGAGGTACATTCTGACGAACCATACTCTAGTCAGCACTCGTTTTCATTTAGGAAGCTCCTGATCAAGAAGAACAACCAGTGGAACAGGATAGCACCTCTCAGCCACCAGCTGAGCAACCTGCTGCAGCCCCGGAGCCGGAGCAGCACCACCTCAAGGTGCGGCTCCAGCTCAGGGTGCTCTTACGGCTAACGCACCTGCGCAACCATCTGCACCGCCAAAACTCAAAAATAAGACTATCTCAACTGAGCTTAAGATTGAGGAACGACTACCAGTTGTTTACGACATCGACAAGTACACACGCGCTGAGGTTTTTGTTTAATGTTTTAGAATTTTTCTATTACTTTCTTGTTATCACAAGTAAATCACCTACTTGTGTTTTATTAATGATTGTAGATGAAAATGCAAGAAGCTGATCTCCGAAAAGCAAAAGGCTGATGCTAAGAACAGTGTGGAGGAGTATGTGTATGACATGCGAGACAAACTATCAGATTCATTTGTCACCGAGAAGGTCGGTTATATTATGGCCGTTTTCGCTTTGTTGGTGCCAAGATGACGCTCCTATCGTCCCAATTCTTAGGATGCAGAGGCACTTCGTTCACAACTGACTGCAGTCGAGGATTGGTTATATGATGAAGGCGAAGACGCTGAGAAGCCGGTAAGCTTCTTGCATCAGAACTCTAGCAGATCGCATATTTTGTTATTGTTCTTTTTGTAGGTTTATGAGCAGCGACTTGCCGAGCTCCAAAAACTTGGTGATCCTATAATTGAACGCTATAGAGAGTTTGAAGCAAGGAAGGTAAGCTTAGATAGATAGCAGAAGTGATGGTCAACCATATTGTTTCATTTCAGCCAGCATTCGAAGCTTTTGATAGGTCAATCATTCGTGTGCGTAAAGCGTACGAAGACTATGTGGCTGGTGGTGAAGCACACGCTCACATTGACAGTGCTGATATGGAGAAGGTTTGAGAAGTGTTAATTGATTGTCGCCACTTGAACATTTGATTTCTGAAACACTTTTTCTTGCAATTGATGAGTCAGCACACCGTTCAATATGAAGTGTGTAGGTGATCAACGCAATCGAAGAGAAGAAGCGATGGATTGATGATGCTCGCCATAGGCAGGAAAAAAGGGCTAAAACTGAGCCGCCAATCGTGTTTGCAAACGAGATCGCCCAGAAACAACAAGTAAGTCAAATGATTCCTTTCGTTATAGAAGTATTGTAAACCTTTATAATTTGCTCTTAAGAGAGGAGAGGGTATTCAAGAATTATTGTTGGGGTGGAATGATGGTTGTTTGTACTATACTTTCCCCTTCCATTTGAGTTTGTTAATCTGCAACGACCACAGTGCTTTCCGTTGTGGGATATTGACAAAGTACCCGGAGTCTCAAATACCCTTTATCGGCATGCTAGCGCATATGTCATAGACGAGGAGTCAACTAACGTGCAAACCTTACAAACATTATATCAACACACGCTTCAATCCTTCCGATCTGGTCTCAATTTACCATTCTCGGAGGGTGGAGGATCTGTAGCCGCGTATTCACCAACCTTAGAACCTTGGGAGCGCATATCCGCATGCTCACTCAATTGCCTATATCTCAAAGTATGTGAAATATACCTTGTGCCACTGCCCCGTATTCACAAACATAATTCAAGTTAGAATCTACCTCTATCTGATAAATCCTGATGTTCAAGACAAATATTACCCTAGCATGGGGCAAGGACTCTTTACCTCGAACTGAGACATGAGCCATGCATTTGCATTAGCTCAAGCTTAATTTTATCCTGTGTCTGTAGATACAGATTAATGGCTCAAGGTGTGTGTCTCTTATGCTTTGAGATATAGGCAATTGTTTGAGCATACGGGTATGCGCTCTCAAGGTTTATTTTGCCTCAGGGTTCTTGATGAATACGGCTGCTGATTAGCTGAAGAGATCCGACCAGTCATAGCGGCGCCTTATATCACCACTCTTCCCATACAAACAATTCGAAGGTCTTGTTTGAGCTGTAATTATTTATTTTGTAGGCTTCTGAAGCCATTGTAATGCCAATTCTCAACAAGAAGAAACCAGCTCCACCACCACAGAACAAGGAAACAAAGAACGAGGCATCACCTCCACCGAATGGAACCCCCGGAGATAATGCTGCACCACCGCAGCAAGCTGCAGACAACATGGAAGTTGACTAATTCTGAAGGTTGTTCATACTATTGTGTTTGTGCATCAAGTGTTTCATCGCTTATTTATTTATTTAATAAAAATTGTAAACAAAACTGTAATTATAAAAAAAATAATTGTAAATTAAACCTGGACGTTGGTTACGGGGTGGAGGGAGGGGGGGGGGGGGGTAGGGAATGGGGGGGGGTCGTGCCGAGGTCCGGCCCAAGGGGGGGGGGTCGTATCCGGCGGTCGCGTGCCGCACTCCCCGCTTTACCCTGGTTATGATTTTGGAATGTGAAAATTCTCGGCGATGTCGGCGAAGTCGGCGACTTTGCGTTTTTCGGCATTTTGGCGAATTCGCCGACATCGCCGAATTCGCCGAAAATTTTCACATTCCACTGTCATAACTGTGTGGTATTGTCATAACTGTGGAAAAGCTTATAGATCACTTCAGCATGAAGGTTTGAATGAAAACATTCACAAGCCGTTTTTAATGTTCAGCTGCTAGCAGCAGATGAGAAAATTACGGATTTATCAGTTTATCAGCCAGATACAATATATACCGCTCACATAATGTGCAAAATTTCCGTAAATATAGCGAAATTCCGAAAATTCCGCGAACTTTCCGGAATTTCGCGACATTTCGGAAAGTTCGCGAAGTTTCGCGAAATTTCAGGAATTTCGCGGAATTTTCGGAATTTCGCGATATTCACGGAAATTTTGCACATTTTTTGAGCGGTATTGTATATGTACGCTTAAATTATATGCCTTGTGTTAAGGCTTCCTCCGATATTTATTTTTCAACTGTCTGTCTTACAAGGGACTATACTTGGGTCCGAATCGAATAGAAATTCGATCATTCGAATATATTCGTATTCGAAATTCGATATTCGGAGTTCTTCCATTTTCGAGTAATATTCGAAACTCGAATAATTGAGAAAACGGGGTTTCGAATGAAATTCGAAACTCGAATAATTAAAAAACAGGGTTTCGAATATATTCAAAAACTCGAATAATCAAAAAACGAGGTTTCGAATATTATTCGAAAACTCGAATAATCAAAAAACAGGGTTACGAATAGATTTTATTCGAATGTTTTATTCGAATGTTTATTCGAATTCGTATTAATGTACTGCGTATTCAGATTATTTGACTTTGTTGCAGAGACAAATGCTGAGTATCAAGCTCACTTCGTCCGCGTTTTTTTCGCAAAACTCGGTAATGCATCTTTTGCAACCGGTATACCTTTGAACTGTATGGAGAGTCGCATTCTCCCGACTGCTTGCGACAGTAAAAAAAACCATAAGTTTAATTGATGTTTTTTCGATCAGTGAGATTGTTCGCACTGCTATTGGCACCAAATCAGCAAAGAAGATATCAAATTCAAGCTCATGTTCTGAGTTCATACTGAAATGAAATGGCTGTTCTTCTTTCTTTGCATTGCTCATGCTTGCGGTACGCAAAGCCCACATTAGTGAGCACTCTTGCTCGCATAAAACATTTCAAAACTGCCTATTCATTACCTTGGAGTTTTTTGCGAATTGGTGTATATTGAGTAAAGGACGTCGCAGTTGTGGAGGGCGGTCAGGATCCTCCAAAGGCTCGCCGCTTCTTCTTCGGGCGCACCCGTGGGAGGTAATATTCACTTCGCGCCTACCTCGCACCTACGTCGCACCTATCTCGCACATTCCTGCATTAGTTCCCCATCGGACTCCTGCCTTACTTCTCCTGGCGTTGATTAGAAAGGGAGCACATAAGCGACGAGTAAATGAACTTCAAATAATGAAACTGCTGTGAGAACAGAATTGAATTAAACAGACATATAAGAAAGTGCTTGTGACCGGAATATTGAAGAAGTAGTAGGTGAGATTAGGAGCGTTAAACCTAATTTAAGGTTTAATCAATTGAAAAGGCTCTTCTGGAAAGTTTATGCATGGGAAAACACAGATGAAAATCTGTAATCAATTTCTTCCAGAGAAAGATGCGCACAAAATAGAGAATCGAAGAAACATAGCAATAAGACCGGACGAGAATAATGAATAGCAAGTTTGCTCCAAATCTAATTTTCTTGAACAGCATACCCATTTGGAAACAATGCTCATAAGATTGATAGTAGTTCGAATGGTCAGCTAATATGCAAAAAAAAAGATAAATCCAAACGTTTTCGTGAGCTGTACATTTTCAAGAATATCTGTAACCCGCCGCCCTTCAAAAACATTATCAGCTCTTATTCTACTCTCATCTACCACGTATTCAATGAATACGATCGAAAGCACTTTCTTTCACAGCATTTTCATTACTTTTTTGGGAATCATTTACTCGTCACTTATGTAATCCCTTTCTAATTAATGCCAGGAGAAGAAAGGCAGGAGTCCGGAGGAGAACTAATGCAGAAATGTGCGAGATAGGTGCGACGTAGGCGCGAGGTAGGCGCGAAGTAATAATTAGCTCCCACGGGCGCGCCTGGAGAAGAAGCGGTAGGCCTTTGGAGGATCCTGACACGCCGCCCGCAGTTGTAGTGCAGGATTAGACGGTTTAGATCGCCGTGCGCGATTTGCCAGTTACGAGATGTCTTCAGATGTAATGGCAGTCTACCACAAATGTTTGGCGTGTACAACATACTAGAATGATAGATGCCCTGCATTCTGTACTTTCAGAATAGGTTTTGGACAATTTGAGTATTGCCATACCACGTCGCCACTGAAATGCCTGCAGTATGCCCGGGGTTATAGGGGCATTCGTCCTCGCTTCGCGGAGGAAACCACATACCTTCGTCTACGACTAGCGTATACCACACAAGACGAAAGTCTCCGATGAAGAGGCAATGTATCGTAGCATTTGTGGAATTTAAGTACATATGTGGCCACCTTATTGCTTCAAAAGATCGCACACCTAGAGTTATGAATCCGAACAGTTCGTTAGGTGCTCACAACAAGTTGCAATGTTTCTCATTTTTGAATTTTAGCTCCAGCCAATTTTATCTTTACTCTGCTAAACGTCATTGAAATCCAGTGGAAGCCTGACAAATAAGGTCTGCTGTCGAACAAAGCCGCAGGATCAAAGTGTATAAATGCGGCTCTTACCCGTGCGGTGTATAGCGCGCAAGGATCACGAAGTGCAGCTGCTTACACGACGCGCGCGACCGCTCAAAGCTGGCTGGTGCACCTTCACGAATTATGGATAAAAATTTACTTTATCGATTTTATCGATTTTTGGAGAAGTTTGAGCTGCGGGGCTGGGGGTTGGTAGAGGGGTAAATGAGGGCACTGATTAAAAATAAAATTTACCATCGATTTCACCGATTTTTGAAAAATCTGAGCTAAGAGTTAATATAGGGGATACTAGGGGGCTGATTATAATTAGATCAGCTTTAGCCAAATATGTCCTCAAGTTTGAGATGTGATTGCTTTAGTTATTCGATAAATCATTCGAATATTTATTCGAAATTCGACTTCCAATGTTCGAATATATTCAATATTCATTCATTCGATATTTTTGATTTTCCGAATTTATTCGAAATTCATTCATTCGATATTTTTGATTTTCCGAATTTATTCGAAATTCATTCATTCGATATTTTTGATATTCCGGATTTATTCGATATTCGTTTATTCGAGATTTTTTATTTTCGAATTTATTCGATATTCATTCATTCGATGAAAAATTATCGACTTACCCAAGTATACAAGGGACCCCTCTGCACTCCAAGGAAAATAATCTATCCTTAGTTCCCCATCCTCCCAATTTATTAGGTTGTCCGGAAATTAATGCCCGTTTTGAATTTCAACCTCAATAATTCATACACTTCCCACTTCTAAATAGGTTGCAAAGTACCATTTGATAGAGCAAAGCAAGCTCTACAAGATAACTCTCTTGCTTTTGCAACAGCTCTTATCCATCTCGAGTTTCAAGGTAAAAAGTAAAAAGACTCAGCTGCCCGAAAAATCGAGAAAAATCATAACTTATTTCAAAAGAATTCTACAAAAATTCTAACTTGCTCACGTAAACATTATCCACATAAGACATCTATATACGCCTTTGCCGTATTTTTTTCTCTGTTAGAAATCAAGAAAACGGAAATTTTCGTGCATTTGCCAAAGTGATGCTGTCCCATCCCCACATAGGTTGTTGTATAGCACAAGCCTGTAGAAGTACAGACCTAAATTTTCAGCTCTCTACAAGCTTTAGTTCTCGAAAAATTTGAATTTTAGCTTGGAGCACCTAACTAGGGAAAGCTATGTTCGGTATTTCTCGAGAACTAAAGCTTGTAGAGAGCTGAAAATTTAGGTCTGTACTTCTACAGGCTTGTGGTATACAACTACCTATGTGGGGATGGCACAGCATCACTTTGGCAAATGCACGAAAACTTCCTTTTTCTTGATCTCTAACAGAGGAAAAAATACGGCAAAGGCGTATATAGATGTCTTATGTGGATAATGTTTACGTGAGCAAGTTAGAATTTTTGTAGGATTTTTATGAACTGAGTTGCGATTTTTTTTCGATTTTCGGGCTGCTGAGTTTTTTTACTTTTTGCCTTGCAACTCGAGATGGATAAGAGCTGTTGCAAAAGCAAGAGAGTTATCTTGTAGAGCTTGCTTTGCTCTATCAAATGGTACTTTGCAACCTATTTAGAAGTGGGAAGTGTATGACTTATTGAGGTTGAAATTCAAAACGGGCATTAATTTCCGGACAACCTAATACCTATTATTTTCACTCTGTTACTTTTCTAAGTTGTTGAAAGTTCATTCCTGCCTCATATCTTTTGTGTCCTCTTTCACTGTCTCTAATTAACCCCATGTTGTATATGCTGTTATGACACCGCTTCTTATAGAACTGTGAAATTGAAATTGTCAGTTGAAGAATGTATAATTTTTTGTCTTATTTCATTTGCATCTCTTTCAATCTTTTTTTCACTGCAAAAAAAACAAATGCATCTGTTATCATCGTACTTTTTTTAACTCATTCGTTACCAGTACTTGTGTCTGTTACTTTATTGATACGAATAAATACTATTATAATTAGTAATATT